CTTAATGTACATGATAAATTCTTAAAGGAAATATTGCATCTTCCAAGACGGTTGATTCAACAGAATGACAATATAATGCTTATCTTTATCAATATAGACTAGCAGAAATTGGAATACCTTGTTGGGCGTTACAAGTAAAACAGCTATTAGACAAATATGGTTTTGGATATGTATGGAAAAACCAACTAGACTTAGACCTTTCATCTTTTATTGGAACCTTTAGAAATAGATGTATTGAAATAGATACACAAACTTGGTTTACACGTTTTCATTCCTATCCTAAACTGAATTTATATTGTGACATTAAACTTTCTTTTGAGAGAGAGGTGTATTTAACTTGTCTGGATGTACCAGCTTATCGTAAGGCTCTTAGTATATTTCGCTGTTCAGGCCATCAGTTAATGATAGAGTCTGGAAGAAAATCTGGTCTGACAAGAAATTCTACATTATGTCCATTTTGTGTTACACCTGTAATTGAGACAGAATATCACATGTGTTTGGAATGTCCTTTTTACTATAATCTCAGACATACAATTTTGCCTGTGTTCTATTGTGCTCATCCTTCTTATGATAAACTGGTATTACTTTGCACATCACACGATTCAGGTATTTTAAATCATTTAGCGAAGTTTTTGTTCCTTGCATTCAAACAAGGTAACAATTACCTTAACAAAACTTGTACAACCCATTAAGTGTATGTTTATTGATGTATCTTGTACAGTGCTATGGCGCGCTCCAGATTTTCCACTTTCATGACATGACTCATGTAAATGTATAATGGGCCTGTGGCCCCTTTATTGAATAAACCAATTATTACTTAAGACTCTGGTGTGCATGTTCCACCTTCTGTTTCACACCTAGCAACAAGACTATGAGAGAGCAGGATCACTCGACCCCGATTGTGATTGCTGGAGAAAGGGAGACAACTCTCTATGAGTAAGCATGCTCAGCAGGACATGTCTGTGGTTGTTGGAGAAAGGGAGACAACTCTCTATGAGTAACTATGCTCAGCTTATTAAATTAAATCAAGTCAATGTGTTGGGCGCAAATAGGCCTCTTATTGGCCCAGGTCGCCCTAAAACTATAAAACCAACCAACTATGCTCAGCTTGTGGTGTTCATGGTTGTTCATGTTCTGCAAAAAAAAGTTTAAATGAGCCTTGACTCCATCTAGATTGCCAAGCCAACTGACATGGAACAAAGAAAATCAGTGAGTGAGTGAGTTGGGTTTTAAGCCACATTTAGTAATATTCCAGCAAACACCAGAAATGTGCTTCCCACATTGTATCCTTGTAGGGAATCAAAGGCAAGGTGAACAATGCTTTAACCCCTGGTCTAGTCCAACGCCCCACTAAAAAATCAATATAAGCCAGTATAAAGTAGCAAACATTAAGGTATCAACCACAATTACCAGGTGGACAGTTATACCAGTCATTGTAATGCATATCTCACGTAAATCACCTCCATGTTCCATTGTACCAATAATCATGCAGGTAATACGCAGGAGGTAAATACAACATGCTTACATGTGTGCGTATGAGTTAGTGACTGAGTGTGTGAGTGAGTGGGTATGGCTTGACACCGCTTTTAGCATTATTCCAGCAATATCATGGTGGGGGACACCAGAAATGGACTTCACACATCAAACCTAGGTTTTGGGCATGATGAACAAACACTTTAACCACTAGGTTACCTCATCGCCTCTGTTCACATGAAGCAGACACATGACAAGCAGATCTGATATACATACGCTACAGCCCAGTTTCACAAAACGATCACAGGGCTATGACAGGGGTACGTCCAGGGTATAGTATAGGAGATGTGATCACCTTAGCGCTAAGACCTCTTCGTTGAATGGGGCTCGGGTCATAGTTGAGATCAATATTTGGACATAGTGTCCACTGAAGCAAAGCAATCAAAGCGCGCTATGATAGTCATAAGTCTATGTTAAAATATGGAAGTTACTATCACCTTAGCACTAAGATCACTTGTCAAATGAGGGCCTGGGTCATAACTGACATCCATATTTGGGCACATTTCCCAGTGAAGCAAAGCAATCACAAAACTTCAATATTCATAAGTCTATGTTAAACATGAGGGTTACGATCACTTTTGTGGTACGATCACTTCGTTGAAAGAGGGCTCAGGTCATAGTTGACATCCATATTTGGGCACTGTGTCCAGTGAGGTGAGGTGAAATTGGGTTTTACATCATGCTTGAGAACATTTCGCTCATATGACGACGTGCATGCGTGTGTATGTGTATGTGCAGCTGCTTGTACTAGCCCAGACTGAAGCTGGTTTTATAGTGCTAGCCCACTGAGATACCATACCGCAGTGAAGCATGAATACCCCACTCAGACACATTATACTGACTCCAAGCCGACCAGTCCTTGTTGTACCATTAATGTCGAGCGCCAGGCAGGGACCAACAAGTACCATATTTTAACGTCTTTTGGTATGGCGCGGTCGGGGATCGAACCCGCGACCTTCCGCTCTCCGGGCGCTACACCACAGAGGCGGTCATGTCCAGTGAAGCTAAAGCAAGCATGTCTATGCTGTATCTGTGTCTATATGTACATGCCTTCTCGTGTCTTGTGTTTTGTGAGTGTACAGCATCTTCCTTGCATGTTACATGGTAGGATTAACCATAAAGCAGAATATAATCACTAGGATTATAATGGGGTATAATCACAGACACCAAGTATGCGTGGGCTACATATTGCATATTCATGCATTTGAACTGAACTCTTAAATTTGCTGCTATTTTTTATTATACGTGGCTCATCACTTAAATGTAGATCTTACACAAGTAATATACTACTCAAAACACATTAAGGATCACCCGATTTTGATGTAACTGTAATTAATCTGTTACGGCATAGTAATATGAAAGAATGATCCTTAACTTCGTTTGAGTTGTGAAAATGTCAATTATTACATGACTGAAGTGTATACAGGACTCAAACCAAAGATCCTGTCTCAGCAAAGGGGAATAACTTAGGCCAATTATCTTATCAAAATTGACCCATCCCCATTTTCAGATCCTTGTTTCACTGTTAGTTTAAGATTCAGAGCTGTGGAGTTTCAAATCCACATTTTACCAGGTATGATATCAAATTCATTCAGTTATCCAAATAATAATGAAAGATAATTTTGCAGTCATCAATGCACTTAATTTGTTTATAAACACTCTAAAGTATTTGGATACTGTTTATTATTGATAATATCAGGATATTGTTTCTTTCTTTGTAGCAAGTGAAATGAGGACCACAGGAACATCACCAGTTCATTCAAGGCTGCAGGGGACCAGCTCTATGTCTATATAATGTCCATATAATGTGTGTATAATGTCCATATAATGTCTGTATTATGTCCATATAATGTCTATAGTATGTCCATATAAGGTCTATATTATGTCCATATAAGGTCTATATTATGTCCATATAATGTCTATATTATGTCCATATAAGGTCTATATTATGTCTATATAATGTCTATTTTATATCCATATAATGTCCACATAATATCCATATAATGTCTATATTATGTCAATATAATGTCTATATTATGTCCATATAATGTCTATATTATGTCCATATAATGTCCATATAATGTCTATATTATGTCCATATAATGTCTGTATTATGTAGATATAATGTCGATGTAATGTCCATATAATGTCTATATTATGTCCATATGTCTATATTATGTCCATATGATGTCTATATTATGTCCATATAATGTCTATATAATGTCCATATAAGGTCTATATTATGTCCATATAATGTCTATATTATGTCCATATAATGTCTGTATAATGTCCATATAATGTCTATATTATGTCCATATAATGTCCATATAATGTCTGTATAATGTCCATATAATGTCTATATTATGTCCATAGAATGTCTATATTATGTCCATATAATGTCCACATAATATCCATATAAGGTCTATATTATGTCCATAGAATGTCTATATTATGTCCATATAATGTCCACATAATATCCATATAAGGTCTATATTATATCCATATAATCTCCATGGTTATGGTTTGAATGAAATGATGAAGTAACATAAAAGCATATACATATATATGTTTGAAGCATGTCTAAAATCTCACCCTGTTTCAGGGGATGGTTTTATGTAGCTGAAATGTTGACAACAATAAGAAATACATCCTGGGTAATCTAATCTGATGTTTATTTCACTTGACACACATTCCACCCAACAAAATGGCTTGAGCTGACACAGGGTACTGGTCACTTATTCAGCCTTGTAAGAATGTATATCTCTAATGAAAATGAAATACTGTTGAAAGAAATGGACACAAATTTTAACCAAGAAACTTAATGAATATTTCTGTACTGTTTTGTAAAAAATAACTCCACTGTGTGTCTTCTAAAGAAGTGAGTGAGTGAGTTAAGTTTTATGCTGCACTCATCAATATTCCAGCTATATGGTGGCGGTCTGTAAGTAATCCAGTCTGGACCAGACAATCCAGTGATCAACAGCATGAGCATCGATCTACGCAATTGGGATATGATGACATGTGTCAACCAAGTCAGCGAGCCTGACCACCTGATCCTGTTAGTCGCCTCTTACAACAAGCATGGGCTGCTCAGAAGATCAATTCTAACCCAGATTTTCACGGGGTCTCCTCTAAAAAAGGCACATCTCTGAAATATACAATCATACAATCTCATACAACCGTGAAGATTCAGGTTAGAATTGCAGTCCATGTTTGTCGCAACATATCCCATTTGTGTCGGTCATGCTCACGATGTCACCCACTGGATTGTCTGGTCTAGACTCGATTATTTACAGATCGCCATCATACAGCTGTTATATTGCTGAGTGTGGCATTTTAACACTTGACAAACAAAATACAATCTCATACAAAGAAAGAAAGAAAGAAATAGAAATTCAGATAAGGTATGTTGACTCTTGACAGTGAAATAAGGACGGGGAGTTAAGTACGATTAATTATGATCTCACCTGGCAATCTTAAAAAGGGCTCTCCGTGGGTCAATGTCCGACAGAGGGGGCGCTCCATCAGCCAGCTCAATGGCAGTGATCCCAAGGGACCACACGTCACAGCGGATGTCATAGGAGTATTCAATCTGCTGCTCACAGGCTATAACCTGGATTAAATCATGCAAACCTGATTAATCTGTGGACATGTTCCTGTACACACATTTTAGGGATATGCCTCTAACCATCCAGTTCATAAAATCTCAATTTGATTCAGATATATACCATGGACCTAGTTGCAACCATAAACACATTTCAGGAGTGATGTCACCATCTATCCAATCACCAGCAAGCACAAAATGTTTCTAGCTCATAACTCCATGAATCAAAAGGTTTCATAAATCATAAATCTACATTCACAATCATGGATGACCTCATCTAAACAATCCCACTACACATGTTTTTCTGACTTAAAATTATATTATATATATTTATGAATAGTCTTTCCCTTTGTGCAAATATGAGGAGTTGATTCCATATATAAAAATATGTATTTACAGTTCATTTTATGACAGTATGTACAATTTGAGTTCAGCCATTGCTGCTGCTTGTTTCAGCAACAAAATAACACTGTAGTATCACTGGACATCTATCATGTATCCAAACCAGACTCAAAACAAACAAAAACTTCCAGGTTATATATAATATGGAGATTTAACACACAGGATAATCAAGATGAGGCAGTCAGGTGTATCAGGGGTGGAAATAACTTTAAAATTGCTAGTATACTCCGGTACAGTGGCACATGTAAAATCACTTGCCCTGATCAATTTTTCCACTATACCGTCCGTTTTCTTGTTGATTTTTTAAATAAACAACATAATTAATATTGGAAAGTCAACTGGACACCGGTACAGTGTGATATACAAATTTGCTTGCCCGACAGAAAAAAAACACTGGACTCGGGCGTCGGACAATGGGTTATTTCCACCCCTGTGTATGTAACACACAGATCCACTGGACAACCTTGCTATGGAAGTTATTAATCTGATGCTGCCCTAGACATCACTGAGTCACCCGTGGGGATTTCAGGTGAGGAGTGAAGTCCCCAGCAACCCATGCTTGTCGTAGGAGGCAACTGAATGGATGGACTGTGAGACTCAGCTTCTCTGTTGACTGCATGTCACCATATCTCAGATGTGTTTGCTCATGAAAAAAATTGTCAAACTAATTGTACATACAACACTGGATATCAACAGCAAATAATCACTTGCAGCGTCATTATTTTACACACACAGAAACCTCCCACTGATAGCAAGGAGATACCTACCTCAGGGGCCATCCAGTACGGAGTTCCAACGTGGGTTTTCCGTCGCCCTAGAGCTCGATCGAGATGACCGGACACACCTACACACATTAACAAATTTCAAAGATAGTTCACTAATTCTCAAGCTGCAGTATATCAGCCTCAGATTCTTCATTCACCAAGCCATACTTTAATTCTAACAATAGAACAACTCAATTAAACATGACACTGCTTGAACAAAAATAACCCAAAATAAAATTTTCAATTACTGGTAGTTATCATGCGTAAATAGCAATGTCAGTTTGAAAGTATGTACATGTTACAAACAAACAGTCATAAAGGCAATGTGTGTTACCATAGCAATTGGTAACAAAGGGTTATAGCCTACACAACCTTGGGGACCTGAGATGGAGCTTTGAACATCTTCTTGGTATGTCTTGATTTATACATATACCACCCCTAAAACTCAGGATTACACACAAAGAGTAAGTTACAGATTAATGGGAGGTTTTAAATTTCAGTTTTGATAACCTCAACAAGCCACGGCTCAGTACACCTAGTTCAAGAGATGTAATTTGTGATAATTTTCTATAAATTTATAATGTTACACTGCACATCTCCCAAAGATATGAGGCTGATCCCTGAGTTACAAAACAATCCATTCTAGTTTGTTCCACTAATTGGTTGAACAAAATTCAAAGGTTCAAAATATGTAAATTGATGGAACTCTTTCACAAATTAGAAAAATGGAACCAAACTGCACCTCTCCTTTAGATGAAAAAACTGTTTTCCAAATTATGAAAACGTTTTGACCAATACTTTCCAAGCAATTGTCTAAACAATCTTTTACAAGTTCAAAATTCTTCAAAAAATTAAAATATCATAATCAAAATGCACTTCAGACAAAGAATGTTGTCATCAAATTTGAATACAATCAAACCAAAAATGTCTTTGGATGGACAGATCAGTCAGTTGTGGCCCATTAATAATGAAAACCGGTAAGAAAATCAAAACATCTGGCAGTGTATCATGTGTCCATACCAAAGTCCACTAGTTTGATCTCCCCGGACTCCGTGATGAGGATGTTGTGACCTTTGATGTCTCTGTGCATGACGTTGTTGCGGTGGAGATAGTTCAGAGCCTGCAGGGGATATTCAGAATTGTGAGGAACTAGAACCCAAATACAAGCTTCTATGCCAAATCAGAACACACACAAATCAAATCAGAGGAAACACACAAACATGTCAAATCTGAATAACACACATGTCAAATCAAAATAACACACATGTCAAATCAGAATAACACACATGTCAAATCTGAATAACACACATGTCAAATGTCAAATCTGAATAACACACATGATGACGGAATGTACAAATCCCGATCCTTTGTGTCAATCATAGAACAAACACACAGGATGAATATATGAAGAGATCCCTATCTTCAGCCTCAAAGTACAAAAGTTCGAAGGATGAGGAAATGAACCGATGCCTACCTTCAGTGTCTCCCTGAGTATGTGGCCTATGAGACCTTCTTCCAGTCTCTTATTGTCCTTGATAAGAGCCCGGCTCAAGTCTGTTACAGTTCCACCACCACACATCTGTAAACACAAGTGTCAACTCTTCAGATCACGGAGGACTAAAAGGATATACCTCAAATATGTCTACATGTAACTTTTCTTTTTTCAGACAAAACAGCAATAAAGAATCAACAGAACCGAAGTTAGTAATGATAACCCATTCTTCTTGAGCTGAAGTGAACATGGAGAAATTGATGATCTGATTATCTGCAAGCCACTTCTTCTGGAGCTGCCTTTCACCCTACATGTCTGCAAACCTGTGAAGATCCAGGTTAGAATTGATCTTCAGTAACCAATGCTTGTCATAAGAGACGACTAATGGGATCAGGTGGCAAGACTCACTGACTTGCTTGACACATGTCATTGTATGCCAATTGCGTAGATCGATGCTCATGATGTTGATCACTGGATTGTCTAGCCCAGACAGGATTATGGACATATAGCTGGTATATTGCTGAGTTTGGTGCTAAACAACAAACTAACCAACCTACATGTCTGCAAGCTCGGACAAAGTGTTGACACCTACCTCCATCACAAGCCATATCTGGTCCTCAGAGCTTCCATCCCGCTTGAGATACATCCCGAAGAAATCCGGGATGTTGGGATGTGAACTGAGGTCTCGGAGGACCTGGAACTCCTCCTCCACCTCCTCCAGGACCTCATGGATGGACTCCATCACCTTCGCCGCAGCCTTGACACCTGAAGGAAAACCAAACACTGTTAGTTGTATTTGATTACATGAGATGAGGGCTAGTTTTAATTGTATTCAATCTGTAGAATAAAGCAATATTCCAGCATTAGAAAATAGGCTAGACCAATGTATTTTATAATTTTTATTATAAACTACAATAACTTTCAACATAAAAGAAGTGAACATGTTGTATTTGATTAAACCATGCTTTTGAAAACTATTTAAGGATTATTCTTCGGAAAATTAACCTTGAATCAACCCTGACCATAATTTCTTTCATGACTTCAGTGAATTAGTCCAGTGGTTAAAGTGTTCATTCGTTATGCCAAAAATTCCAGATTCAATAACCCACATGTGTACAATGTGTGAAGCTCATTTCTGGTGTCCCCACCATCTTAATGCTGAAATATTGCTAAAAGCAGCTGAAAAACTTACTCTCTCATCAGTTTGCATCCTGCTTCTTGGCACATCAATAAAAGAAGACAATATATTGGTCGAACCTAAACATAATCCACTAAATACACCTACAATGAAGATCACCTTGAGATGCTGTACTTTGAGTTCAGTTAACAAAATGCCATCAGAAGAATCAAGTTATGTGTTGGCACGTAGCTGAATCTCTTTATTTAGAATTTATCTACAACTGAGACAAATCTTTCTTTCTAAATATACTGAACCACAAAAGAAACGTCGCTTTTCAAAACCAAATGCAAGATTTTGTTCTTACAAAATGGTGTTTTTATTATGATTGTATCGTTTTGTTAACAAGTTTTCAATCCAAATTGACAGTTATTACCAACATCAGTGTGTTTTCTGATGAAAAAGCATTTCGACCAAACGCACCTAAAAAGGTAAAAGGTTCTGTATGATATTCGTGAAAATGAAAATGCACGCGCATATCGTGACAACCATACCAATGAAAGCGACTCCCAAACTCGCCTGAAATCATTTTTGTTTTGACACAATCGTCACGGCACAAATTACGAGAGATCAGAGGAACCAAGTCTTTGGATGATTGCAAGTTTGCCAGACTGACAATCATTTTAATGTTCATGTTTGGACAACTTCCGACTGCAGGAGTGGTATCGGGTCACTAACAGCATCCAAGACCGTCCACGCAGTGGGCGACCTTCAGTAACATCACAATGTCAAGACCGACAGATTGTGTGCCACCATCTGCTAGGTCGCTTCCCCAGAGCGACTGAAAGAGCATGCCAGACCATTGGGACTCACAACAGACCCATCAGTGCCGATACAGTGCGTCGGCGTTTGCACGGAAGAAACCTCTGCTGTCACAGACCATATCGTAGTCCTGTCCTCACCGCTCATCACCGCCAAAACCGACTGCAATGGGCAACTCAGCATCGGAATTGGCGTTATCGACAATGGAGAACTGTGTTTTTCTCATGAAAGCCGATATTGTGTTTCGACAGTCGATGGCAAAGTGAGAGTAAGGTGAAGGCGTGGGGAACTGTTTTCCAGTGAGTGTATTGTTGAAAGAGACTCGTGGGGTGGTCCAAGCATCATGGTGTAGGGGGCAATTGGTCTGAACCAGATAGCTGGCACCGTGGTGTTCCAGAATCTCGGTCCAGGATGAGGAAATGACGTGACAGTTGCTCGCTATATTGACCAAGTCATAAAACCCCACATTGTACCACATTTTGGACGTTACAGAAATCACATCTTCCAGCAAGACAGCGCTCATGCCCACACTGCCAGAGTAACAATGGACTTCCTAAAACAACATGGCATCCAAACTCTACAATAGCCTGCACTCAGTCTTGATTTGAGTCCAATAGAACACCTTTGGGATGAGAGTCAAAGAAGACTGAATGACCGCCACCCAAGGCCGACAACTGCTCCTGGACCCTAAGTGCCTATGGCCTTCATCAACCGGCTAATTCATTCCATGTACAGACGATGCAACGCTTTCATCGATGCTTATAGAGGCCACACACAATACTGACTTTGGGGTATCTTAATGGTACCATTTTTGGTGATTTTGTTTGTGTGAACTCTAAATGTGATTCCCAAAAATGTGTTAACCATAATTGTCAAGTTTGAATTCAATCCTGCGTTTTGATTGTTCATTAGAGTGAACTAAAGTGTGTGCTTTAAGAAACCGCTATCAGTGCGACATTTCTTTTGTGGTTCAGTATACATGTATATCACTTTGATGTTCATGCAGGTTTTCAAACTCATATATCATTTCCAGACTTTCCTGTCAAACTGACTGATTAAGTATTACAGAGTTAAAAATTATAAAAACATATCATAAACGCTTGTCATAACGGCGACCAACACGATTGGGTGGTAAGGATTACTAACTTGGTTGACACATGTTATCACATCCCAACTGTGTGGATCAATGGTGATGATGCCAATCACTAGATTGTCTGGTCCAAACTTGATTATTTACAGACCACCGCCATATACCTGTAATAATGCTGAGTGCAGTTTGTAACAACCAACAAATGCTCATGATGTTGATCATTGGATTTTCTGGTCCAGACTTGACTAACGTCTTAAATCTGGGATATTGCTGAGTGAGATGTTAGACAACAAACAAACAAAACACAACAAAGTGGTCCTTACTTGTCTTCTTGTTCTTGGCCATGTACACCTCTCCATATGTTCCCTCCCCGATCAGGTCCTCCAGCTCCCATTCCTCCGCCGGGTCCGGGAGCTCGGAGAAGTTGATAATCTGGCTGTATTGTGTGTACATCTTCAGCATTGTCGCGGCCTCATAGCCACCTGCAACAAGAGTAAGTGAGTGAGTATGGTTTTATGCCGCTTTTAGCAATATTCCAGCAATATCACGGCGGGGGACACCAGAAATGGGCTTCACACATTGTACCCATGTGGGGAATCGAACCCGGGTCTTCAGCGTGACGAGCGCACGCTTTAACCACTAGGCTACCCCACCAACCACCTGCAACAAGAGCACAGACTGGTCACTACACATCCAAACATGTATTTGGGGCTTTAACTGAACATATCCATGATGTACAATACATGTACACCATTACGAAAAGATCTAAAAGAAAACTAAAAAGAATTATCATATTGTAAGACAACTGCTGTTATCTTGAGGCCCTGTATTCTCCGATCATAATCAAAGTCATCATTTGGGTTAATGGGAGGCCTCTGCAAAATTTCATTGAACAAACTTGAACACTCTGATAAAATTTAACATATGTTACATTTGGGATTACACTTTCTTAGTAAAGTACAGATTCTAGTACTTTTTGGGTTGAGTCCCATCCGGGATTCGAACCCACATCCTCAGAGTCAGGCACCTAATTGTCAGCACATAAAGTCAGACGCCTAGACCGCTCAGCCACAGCGGCTTCCACAAAAATGGAAGTCGGACAACTGGTAGTCTAGACTGCGGACTTTGTGTACCCCTCTGATAAGTGTTAATTGGCACGGCTCCCACGGCCGAAAGCTATGAAATCCACAATGCCATTTTAGAAAGTGATCAAATGTAACATATGTTATATTGGGGATTACACTTTCTTAGTAAAGTACAGATTCTAGTACATTTTGGTTGTGTCCCATCAGGGATTCAAACCCACACCCTCAGAGTCAGGCACCTAATCGCCAGCACATAAAGTCAGACGCCTAGACCACTCAGCCACAGCGGCTTCCACAAAAATGGAAGTCGGGCAACTGGTAGTCTAGACTGCGGACTTTGTGTACCCCTCTGAAGTGTTAATTGGCACGGCTCCCACGGCTTTACTAAGAAAGTGTAATCTCAAATATAACATATGTTACATTTGATCACTTTCTAAAATGGCATTGTGTATCTGATAAAATTCGACTTACAAGATGTAATATCATTATAATCCTAAATGTGACCTTGACGTTAAACAAGCATAAGAAATAAGTCAAGATGAGCATGATTGACATCAAAGTGCCCAAAACCTGCACTTGCATGTGTGCCTCATTAATGACATTTAGCAATATTTAGCTAAATGGTGTTATGGGCTGCGTTACCGTTTTGTTCCAATTTCTAACCTCTCCATTGTTTTGATTTTGTCCACCATCTAATTCCCGCGCTTGAATTCACTTCCGCTTACGTCACCAACTTGCCTCACGTGCAGCTAAGCTTAGAGCCACGCAATATCCGCCGGCATTACGTCACGTTTTTTTAATAGCACTTCACATGCTCCGGCTAACTGCTGTATAAAAAGTCTGTTTTTTTCACTGCTCTACAAAAGTCTGCCCCTCCTATTTCATTCGAAATGCCTCCAAAGTGCAAATCAGCCCTAAACCACCGTCTCATGTCGGGGAGAGCGAAAGCTGCTCGTTTGAGCGCGTCTCGGGATCAGCGAGGTGACAACACCCCCAGGGTGCCGCTGACGGTCAGCACAGAGCCAGCTCCAGGGACCAGCCGGGAAGACACAGAGACAGGTAGGTCGCTTGCTAATGCTGCTAATAGTATAATCATTCAGCCGGGTGTGTTACTCCCTGATGTTTCACCTCCCTCCCCACTCGCTCCATATCCCGCACATACCAGCAGCTTCATGTGCAAATCGAGCACCTTGGCTCCCATGTTAGAGCGTCTATACGGGGAAAAATACATAGGGGGGAATCGTAGACCTGCGCCAATTGCTGCCACCCCAAAAAGATGTGTCAAAGGAAGCTGTTAATTTTTCTATGGAGCTGGACAGCTCCGGACAGGTGGTGTTTAGGCCTAAGCAGTAACCCTCACGGCCACTGACCATAGGCCAGTGGACGTCAGCTTTCAATACCTTTATAAGTATTTATATTGAAAAGCACCAGGATACGAACATTGTGCAGCATTTGCTTGCATACATGGAGACAGTGCGAGGGGCAGCCGCACGCTTCGGGGGGGAATGGTGGGCACAGTACGACATTCAGTTCAGACAACGTATGGAGCGTAACCCTTCACGGCCTTGGGGCACCATTGACGGTCAGCTGTGGCTTGAGTTAATGCTCCCCAACCAGCGTCAATCCCTGCTATCTGCCAACAGACTCCCTAGCAATAGCCATAACCAGCATGCCTACACTGCTGCACCCGTATGTTGGGATCTCAACAAGCAGGGTTGCAGAAGGCAAAACTGCAACTATGTGCACAAGTGCCAGTCATGCTACAGCAGAGGGCACGGAGCCAGTATCTGCTTTCAGCATAAAGGCTCTAGGCCCAAACATGGCACATTTCCAGCGCATGCCAACAATAACCCCATCAGCAACACCCGCCAATCTTGAACTAGCACCCTTACCAATCAAAGTCTGCAACCTCACCCCATGGCTAATTTCTTATCACCACATTAATGCAAATGACAGTACTATACTTCAGGAAGGTTTTAACCAAGGCTTCAGTTTACAATATACAGGCCCACCCGGTCCACGAGATGCAAAAAATTTATCATCTGCTAACGCTAATCCGCATATCATCTTGCCAGGACCACTAACATATCTACACAAATCCCAACACTGACACGGGTCATTCAAAGTCAATTGTTTTTCATCTCTGGCAAAATGGTGGCACATGAACCAAGCTGTGTTCACCTACTTTACCCAGGTTAAAGGCTTCTTGAGTAATCACAAGAACCCCTTATGATCCTGACCTCCACAGTGGCCCTGACCCAACAGTGATATGAACGTCAAAAACCCTAACAAAGGTGTTACAGGAAATACATACTAAATATAATACCTCTGTGACATCTTGATCAGTAATACAAAATTCAAAAGCCAGGTAGCAGTGGCCTTTTAGGAAAATTGCAAAAAAGCCATAAAACAACACTAAAACATGTATCGAGGAGGCTTGTGCCATTTATCTCTGCATATAAATCGACCCCACGTATATGGTGACCCCCTTGTACAAGTTTTCAAAATCGACACTAATTTATATACCCCGTCCCTGATCAAAGCACATCATCAGAACTTATATCATCTCTACATTGTTAATATAAACATGTTTGTGCCACAACATTTTCTTATATATGCTTGGCCACATAGAACTTGAGCACCTGGTGCCACTTTGTGGTGGTAAAAAATTCTTTTCATTTAATTTCTGAAGTAAGTTCTATGAAGACAGTCTATTTCCTGTAACTTCATCACTAATTATCTATGTTTCAGTTTACTAGGCTGAGTTTGGTCGAATTGTAAGGTGTTTATTCAACAGATGGACACCAGCTGACATCAACAGTTGGGAAAATGTCTTCTACCCACGGATTCTAGGTAGAAAAACTCACCTTAAACGCATCAATATACAGCAATCCTTGACATGAAATACACCCATCACACAGTTACTGTCTGCTAATACACGAACCATGTAACTTAAACATTCTACTGCAACCATCTGTCGCCATGTAGAAAGCCATTACGTTGGGATTTATTTCAATTTCATTGACAGGAGGTGATGTTCCAATATCCAAGCTTTTCCATCTGTGTCCAATTTAGATGCCATATGGTAGACCAATTTGAAAGTACTTCAAATTTAATTATATCATAGCTAAAAGTTAAAAAGTTTATATGCATAGCAACTCAAAGGAATGATTTTCATGATTGTTGGATAACCATCAAATCATGCAGTGTATGGTCATTGTAAAGCAATCTTGTTTCTATAAGTGATCTTAGAATTCAAAAACTCTCAAGGAATACTGGTATTCATGATGTGATAAAATGATGTTTTATTTATGAATACAAGAACAAAAATAAAACATATTTAATATTCTACACATTAAATGGGCTGTTTTCCATTTCTGGTTTTGGTCAAGATTAGGGCTGAGCAATATAACCGGTTTACCGGTATTTACCGGTTCAAACATGAAAAGGATACGTATATTGCGATACGCTGATCGAAAACCGTTATTTTTACTTTCATTCGGAAAACTTTGTAACACTCGGAAATCTTGGGATGTTTCCTTGTTTAATTTGTGCCAAATATTATTTACATGTATATTTTGTCATGATTGAAAGTGTTTAATAAAGCTTAATCAGGCATAGTCATTTTGTTGTGTTCATGCTTTATAAATCAAGCATTAAAAAAATTCTCTGCAATACCCACCCCTAGTCAAGCAAAGTGCTTGATAGAGAGCCAGGTTTTCGTCAGTTGATATTTTCAAGATACGGATACAGAGCTAAGCCTGAAATCGTCTCTGTGATTTAGTAGTAATAAATGACTGACTTGAATCAAGAGAGCCAGGCTTTCGTCAGTTGATATTTTCAAGTTTGATTTAAGTCAGTCATTTATTACTACTAAATCACAGAGACGATTTCAGGCTTAGCTCTGTATCCGTATCTTGAAAATATCAACTGACGAAAGCCTGGCTCTCTATCAAGCACTTTGCTCATATGAACACTCCTTAACCTCATAATTTCAAGCATCCCAAAGACAACATTTGCAAAGACTACACCTTCCTACTGTAACTACATACAGCTTATAATAATCTTACCACAATAATAGCTACATAAAAGCTAACGGAGCAGAGGATTTTCATAATGGAATGGGTTTGTCCAACATTTGAATGAAGGTCATGGAGAGTACACAAACAATCTCCTTAGAAAGTAGACCTGACAATACACTCTGACACATTTTTATGATCGAGTGAGTGAGTGAGTGAGTGAGTGAGTGCAAGTCTTAGACATTTACCCCTTTGGCCAAACCTACAGAAAGTATACTATATATATATATCTCCTCATATATATCTCCTCAAAAAGTATACTTGACAATACACTCTAACACACTTGAGTGAGTGAGTGAGTGAGTGAGTGAGTGAGCA